TTTCCCTAGACAATTTGGTACAGTATCTGGAATCTTACCCCTAGTTTTCTAAGAGTTAAGCTTCTGGCAGTCTAGATATTTAGTTATGTTTAGTATTTAATGTTTTCCTAGCATATATTAATACTAGGATTTTGTTATAGCACAGAAGTCTAAGTGAAAGCAATTTCTGCTCTGGTAAATGATGAATGACTACAGTTTTGCAACAAAGTTAAACGTATGATGCAGTGTAAAATGACACTGCTTAGAATTTTTACAAAGTGGTTAAAATATCCATCTGAGGCTGTATTTATAAAGACAAGATGTCTATAATGTAGCAGTCCTGAAAGGCAGTTTGTTTTTTTTAACATCTCCTTAGATAGTTTATACTAATAACGATGAAAGAGCAAAGAAAGTGTTTTTTCCCAAACAAGGAAACAAAAAATTAGCAAGTGTTTTACCTCTTGAAATATTTAAATATATTGTATTTGCTTATAATTACATTCTTGTGGGCAAAGTCATTCAGATCAGTTTCTGGTTTGTATAAATGGCATCTTTCAGTCAAAGAATTTTATTTTCCTTGTAAAATATCATTTTAGATTATTGTAAAGCTTTAAGTTTAACTGCATGCCTACAGTAAAAGTCTATGTGCATACAGCTTAAGAGTGTCATCCATCAGTGAATAGTCTTGTTTTATATACACAGGCTCAATAATCCTACCTGTTACATTAGAAAGGATTACTCACATGAGTAAAAGTGAGCATAGTCACTGTTAGTATATATTATTCATGTTTCCCAGTTAAACCTTATTGGGCGCATCCAGATGAGGACACACTGTGCCTCTTGCAGCATCTCAAACTAGTTTGAGATGCTGCAAGAGGCACATTGCAAACGAAAAAATGTTCCCCACACTGCATATTTGCAGCGTGGGCTTAAAATTTGATACCTGGAAATCCAAGTATCAAAAAACCCACAGAAAAAAAGCGGGGCAGGACATGGTCCAGGACCATGCCCTGAGGTGCACCTGGAGATTGGGGTCCTCCAAAGAGATGCTCTGGTAGCCAGCCAGAGCATCTCTATGGTTGCCCCTTGCTTGTGTGGGGCAAGGAGTGGTGCAGGCTGCAGTGACCTGGACCTGAGCTCTGCCCCTTGGTAAATAGGGAGTAGGGTTGGAGGGGACTGAAGCAGGGGCCGTGTGGGTATGGGGGACTGTGTGTGGGGGTGGCTGCTGTGGAGGTGTGGGTTCCCTGCTTGCCCCTTGCAGGGCCCACAGCCATCCCAAAGCAGCAACAGCCATCAGGGTACTCGGTGTCCTCCTGGCACAGCTCCCTCCCACAGCATGGTGTGGGCTGCCTGGCACCTGACACTTCCTGTGCCACATCGCCCTGGCCTGGCCTGGCCTGGAGCGGGGATGTGCACCTTCGGGCAGGACCAGGCTACTTGGGCTGGCACCACTCACAGTGACCATGTCTAATGCCAGACCCGGTCCTGCTCCCACGGGCCCCATGCACTGTCAGGCTGGGCCGGATCCATGGAGGCAGGACATGGCCCAGCATGACACGTGGCCCCTGCGATCAGTGCCAGGTCCCAGGTGATAGCCCAAGGGGCCTGGTCCTGCCCAAAGGTGCATAGCCCTGGGCCGGGCCAGGCCCATGTTATGTTGCACATGCAGCGCTGGGTGCCAGGCAGCTGGGGTCACACTGCGCTGTCTTGCACCACCCTGCACCATGTGGGGGCTGTGCCAGGAGGGCTCTGAACAACCTGATGACTACTGCTGTTGCGGAAGGGTTATGTGTGCCGTGAGGGAGCATGTACTCCATGTGGGGGGGGGGGAGGCTGTCAGTGAGCTATGCAGGGGGGATGTGCCTTTCAGGGGGGTCAATAGACCCAACCCTCCTGAGCAGCCCCTCACACCCACAGTCCCGCCACAATTCACCCACATACACAGCCACAAACCCCAAGCCCCTACACAAGCCCCATACCCCACCAAACCTCACTCCCACAAACCCCACATCCCCCACACAAATCTCACACTCTGCATGCCCAGCCAGCCACATAGGATGGGAAAGGAACTGCGTGTGGGAGCAGCGGCTGCAGGGGCAACTGCCACACTGCAGCCCTGCCCCATGCTTACACCAGTGCTGGGACATGGGTCCCAGGAATCACTTGCGGGGTGTGATGGACTGGGGGGAAGGGTGGAGGTGACAGCAGGGGGTTGTGAGAGAGAAATGGGGGGTTATGGTAGGGGAATGCTCAGGGTAGGAAAGATCTCCAGAGCCCTTGCCCCACTAGAACAGCCTGTGCAGGGGGAGGCCGGCCTGGGAGGAAAGGGCCCAGCTCAGTCCCTGATCCACAGTCAAGGGTTTCCCAGGGATAGCATGGAGCAGGGAGCAGAACAGCTCAGAGCCACAAAGCAGTGGGTGGGACAGCTGCAGTTGGACTCATGTCCTGGTGCTGGGACAGAGCTGTGACTGGGAGGGAGCTAGTAGGGGCAGGCAGGGGCTGTGGGCCAGGAGTGAGGGGACTGAGGAGTAGGGCATGCTGTGGGTTGATTGTGAGGAGCAGGAGCAGGGCACTGGCATATCAGTGCTGCTCATTGCTGTACCTCCTGTTGAGTGAAGAAGGTAGGGGTAGCTCTGATTTTTCTATGACAAAAACACCAAAAGTAAATGCCGAAGTGTATAGATATCCATATAGAATCCATTTTATTATGATGATAGAGGCACTGGTAGGCTTCCAAATTGCTTTAAACCTGTAAATATATCAATAAAACATTGCCCAACTGATCTCTCTCTATATAGTTGCATTTCATTTTAATAGTGAAAGAACACTATTTTGGGTATTTTTAATGAGGGGCCAGCACAGGGGCAGGTTTTTATACTGGTAGGGCATCACAGGTGGCACAACTTGCCCCACACACAAAGTACATTTCTGGGCATGTGTACTGAGGCAAAAATCCCTGGCACAAATTTGTGCCACTCCTATATGAACTGCTGCAAGCGCATGTGTCTGCATGTGTGGACATGCCCATTGTTTTGATGCCTATGGAGTTAGGCCATCAATAAAGGTAGCTCTGACATTAATTCCAATATTCTTATTAGTCATAGCCCCAAAGATGTAGATGAACCTAATGACTGTTTGAAAGTTTAAATTCGGAATTGTGTTCAAGAAATATTTTTTACATATCTTTTAATTTTCAATGTTTTAAAACTATTAGTGATTTTCATATTATAAATTGGTCTTGTATTATAAAGAACTTAGATTATATTAGCAAGAGAGTAGGGTTGTTGTTCATGAAGTGCAAGTAAAGGACTTATGAACCCTAGGAACTATTATTTTTCCTTTTTTCCTTGTTAAATTATCTTTATTTTCAGGGACTGCTTTACTTTTTTTCTTTTTTCTTTTATTATCTAGGTTTGAAAACTAACGTAGTTTACACATGAT